TGTGTGTGTGTGTGTGTGTGTGTGATTGTTGTCTTTGGATGTAAATGTCATTTGACCTCAAGGGCTTTAGAGTCCCAGCTGAGGTTTTGGCCATGTTTGGAATGAAATACTGGCTTACTGCATACTGTGCAGTATACTGTATAATACGGTGTTTGTTTTTAGTATATGAAAGCAACATTAAATGTTTTAAATCGTAGCGTATGCAATATTGTAGATGCCTGAGTACGTCACATGTATGTTTAATTCGGTAAACAGGGACCAGTTATGTTTATTTTACATGAAGTCAAATTTGTGTTCCTTAAATCTTGGAAATCAAGAAAGAGGAAAAATCTTGGCTGATATTAATTCTGCTTCATTCTCTGACTGGGAATGGAAGTTGTATTCATAATAATGTGTTCTCATTGTACACTACATGTTTTGGCAGATGTAGTTGGTAGTCTGGATGCACTGTCACAGAAATCATTGCTTACTGCAGAATAAAGCTGGACGGTAACTGTTTCTCATGGGGCCTGAGGTCATTTCAGCATTTACAGAGTGTATATATATATAGTGACTTTATTGCCATCCAAATCCAGTGTTTTTCTCCCAATTTCTGACTAAATTACCTACTGTTTTTGACAGACGCCAAGGTCGTGTGGTCTTTTAACTGCCGTCTGAATCCACATCTCTGAGTTTACAAGAAGGGATCGATCCAAAAGTCATTTCGTAAACAATTTTTGTCCGCTGCCAAGCCCTGTAGAGTAACTGTTGCTCTTCTGCAATGCATACGCATGGACGCTTTCATTGCTCAAATGCTGGAAACTGCTTAGAAGAATACTACAGTGTGAGAACAGCGAGTGCGATCTTTAAAGAAGAAAAGAAACGAGAACAAAATCGCAAACTTTTGAAATGGGTCATTATTATAGTGTGCAGCAATTATATTATACTTTAATTGTTATAGACATTTATGTAAATTAGAGCTTGCACAAATTATTATTTTACTAGTCAAACATGTAGCTGGGTCAAATGTTTAACTTCATGTAAATAAGAGTTTGCATTAAATAATTTCTACTAATTTCCACATTTTTTAAATCACGTGCATCATAGTGCTTCAGTTTTTCCTAATTTTTTTAATAGGATATTTAAATAATCAAATAATAAACTCTATTATTTTCATATTAATAAATAAAGTATGAATTTATTTATTGTCCAAGCACTAACAGACAAACAGCTGTTTACAGCTGACAGTCATGTGACTGATCATGTGAGCAGTAGAGAGTAGATTTGTATTAGAATTAGTTACATTACATTATTTTCAGTACAAAATGTATGCCACCCTGTTCCAGCTGAGGTGTTTATGAATTGATTTTTAATAAACATTAATGATTTTTTTAAACCCAGTGTTTAATGATAAATATAAATGTTTAGTCATACAGTGGCATCTGAGATCACTGTGTTTCTACTGATTCTTTTCTAACTGAATTCAGAATTCTTCAATAAAAATTAAAGAATTGACCAACATAACAGCTTGAGGAAAAAGTTTAATTGAAAAATAAACATGAATGTGAGAAGGTCTTATTTACTTACATTTGATTAGTCACCTGGAAATAGTGCACATCTTCATTTCAAAATCCCACAAATGTTCAAACGGTTTAAATGGAAAAAAAAGTCTCGGATACTCTCTGTGTTCTCTGACAGCACTGTTTAAAGATATGAACGAATGGACTACTGGCTAACAGTATGTTTCTGTGTGTTGTGTGTGTGTGTGTGGCGGCAGCTCCTGTGGTGAACGTGAGTGATTACAGTCAAGCTGCAGGTGCTGGAGAAAACGGCCCGGCTCTGGAGCTCAACTCCGACTCTAAGGTGAGAAAGACCTCTTCATCATCTTCATCACAGTCCTCAGGTCTACAGGAGGTGCCCTGGAACAATAACTAGCTATTACTCCTGCTCAGATGTTAAACGTACAGATCCACTCGTACTGCAATGAGTTTCTCTCTTAGGGTGTTTTATGAAAATACTTTATTTTTCCCCATTTTTTGTATTGATTCTGGTTTGTTTTGTAGAAATGATAACTCAGAAATTATGCTAAGCCTTGAATCATGCTGCCTAAATGTTTTGTAATACACTGGGATCATCCTCTGTTTGGAGGCACACACATACACGGCTCACAATACTCAGAGAAACCCAGCCCGTACTGTACGCCTCGAGTCAGTCTGCCACCCAGATGTGACATTTCCCTGCCCGTCAAAGGCCTGTATTCATGGCGTCCGTGAGCCCTGAAGGAGCGCTGGCATTCCTGCCGCTACCTAT